CCCCCCTTTCCCGGTGCCCCCCCGATGCCCCCCCAGTAGGGCGAGGCCCGAGCCCCCCTCCCCCCCGGAGCAGCGATGGGAGCGTCCGTGGGCTGAGCCCCCCCAGGTACCGCCGGGGGGCCGGGAGACACTGGGAGGCACTGGGGCTGGACTGGCCTGCACTGGGCTATACTGGGATGTACTGGGGCTGGACTGGCCTGCACTGGGCCATGCTGGGAAGCACTGGGAGGTACCGAGTCTGTGTTGGTCTGCATTGGGCCATGCTGCACTACACTAGGCCATACTGGGCTGTACTGGGATATACTGGGCTGTACTGCTCTGTACTGGATAATACTGGGCTGTGCTGGGCTGTACTGGGATATACTGGTTTGTACTAGTCTGTACTGGGCTGGGCAGTGTCTGTAATGGTCTGTGTGGAGATGTACTGGTTTGCACTGGGCTGTGTTTCATTGTACCGGCATGCACTGGGCCATACTGGGCTATACTGGGCTATACTGGGCTGTGCTGGGCCATGCTGAAATGTACTGGGTTGTACTGGGCTATTCTGGGCCATACTGGGATGTACTGGGTTATACTGGGCTGTGCTGTCCTGTACTGGGTTATACTGGTCTGTACTGGCCCATATTGGGCTGTACTGGCCCATACTGGGCTGTGCTGTTCTGTACTGGTCCATACTGGGCTGTGCTGGGATGTACTGGGTTATACTAGGCTGTGCTGGGCCATGCTGGGATGTTCTGGTCTTTACTGGGTGATGCAGTACTGTACTGGTCTGTACTGGGCTGTGCTCTTCTATACTGGTCCATACTGGGCCATGCTGGGATGTACTGGGCCATGCTGGGCCGTACTGGGATGTACTGGGATGTGCTGGGCCGCATTAACCTGGAATGGACGCTGGGGGTGTGTGCAGGGGATGCTGGGCTGAACTGGGCCGGACTGGGCCAAACTGGGCCGGACTGGGCTGAACTGGGCTGAACTGGGCCAGTGTGGGCTGTACTGGTCCATACTGGGCTGTGCTGGGCTGTACTGGCTGTGTGCTGCTCAATTGGTTTGTACTGGCCCATACTGATGGATGTGAATTTGTACTGGTCTGTACTGGTTTGTACTAGTCTGTACTGGTCCCTATTGATGGGTGTAAATCTGTACTGGTCTGTATTGGTTCATACTGGTCCGCACTGGTCCCTGTTGATGGGTGTGAACCTGTACTGGTCCATACTGGTTTGTACTGGTCCCTGTTGACGGATGTGAATCTCTACTGATCTGTACTGGTTTGTACTGGTGGAACTGGGTCTGTAGTAGTCTGTACTGATGGATGTGCAGCCTGTACTGGTCTGTACTGGTTTGTACTGGCCTGTCCCCTGTCCCCACAGGCCCCACGGCAACACCTGGACAGGACCAGGATGGAGCCCTGAGAGAAGGTAATGGGAGCACTGGGA